TTTTAATGACCATTTACAAGGTCTGTATGGAGCAGGTTGTACAGATCTTTAGCCTGAAAATATTTGGATATCCTCTGATCTTCTCCAATTGCACCAACATGTATGTATGTATGTATGTATGTATGTATGTATGTATGTATGTATGTATGTATATAAAGAATAGGTTAGTGTACACAATAATAGACCAAACTTCTACTAACAAAATGTAAACATAGGATACATGACACCAGTGTGCAAAGTGTTTGCCGTTTTTAAAAGAAATGTAAATGCAAAGAAGTACATATAAATATACATTTCTCTTTTAAAACATAAAAATTATATACAGGGTTTCACACACATAGACATTACTTGGGCGGGCCGCCCATGTATATTAACGTCCGCCAAAGTATATCTTGAGACCCATTTAGGTTAAATCTTTATTTATCCGTCCGCGAGTTCGATTAACTACCCCTCCTGTACCTGTTCGCTCTGCTATCGCGTGAAGGGTCTGCTTTATGCGGTCCGCAGTCACTCCGCAGTCAGGCTCCGGCGAACAGTTCATGAGCGTGCTCAACTAGCACCCACTCGCAAACCCCCCAACTAAGGGTGGGCGATATTGAAAAAGATAATATCACAATATTTTTCAAGCAGTATCACGATAGATGATATTTATCACGATATTTTTTCATGTCGGTTATTAAGGTTCTTTTTCAAGTTACTTAACAGAACAACCACCTGCAAGGTAACAAAAAATAAAATAAAAAGGAGTAACGGACCAAAATACCATTTCAAGCTGGTTTTAATTCTGCAATGAATCCCTGAATGAACAATTCAACAGGAATTTTGATATNCTTCCTCAGTGTTGGTGAAGGCCTACACCCTACACAACAAACGTTAACACTGGTTTCTTCACCAAGTAAAGTGCACTCTTTTGCTAAATAAAATAAAATATTCAAGGCACAGTTTCTCAGTATAAAAATGCACTTTCTGTTTTAGGTAGCACTAGCAGTGATGTAACATCAATAAACATGAAAAGGAGAGTAAAACATAACTAAGTAAAACATAAAACATCAATGAGGAAAAGTCAGTGCCAAACAATTAAAATGTAAACTTTAGACTTGAAGTGCAATCAAATACTTTAGCATAACTGAACATCTGTTTAAAAAGGGGAAAACAATATAAATACCTTATTGATAAAATAAAATATAAGCCAACAGAATCAACCAAGACAATAAATGAAGTGCAATACTGTCTGAATCCTGACTAGACAGCTTGGTTTTTACTAACCATTATCAGTATTTAGTTACTTCGGCATCATTTTGAAATGTGTATTACAATTTAATCATGGTAAAATAGGTTAATTTTGTCGTAGTTGGTTTCCACCACAGTATTTGCATGGATATAAGCCCCGCCCCCTCTCCAGCGCGTCCTGTTTGAGAGACATGAGTAAACACAGCTGACAGCCGCGGTGAAACTCCAACGATTAGAGCGATGAGAATATTCGCATCGCCTCCGTTGTGAACGCAGCATAATGCAGTTCAGAAACCACTGTTCTGACGTTTTTTAAAGCAACTTCGAGATTTTAACAGTATCAGGGGCACACAGGCACACAATTATTTTGGGGGCTTCACGGCCAGATCACGGCATGGCCGTGAAAATCCTACCCTGGTGCACTCGCAGCACTCACAGTGAGTGCACATTCTATGACTGAGTGACTCTCTGTATCACGATAGATAGGTGATATCTCTGAAAAGGCATATCGGAGAGACCTATATCGTCATATCGTCCCACCCCTAGCTTTAAGACTACTATATAAAATATTACATATATAAAATGTATCATAATCGCGAGTACTGCAGCCATAGATGGAAACATTACATAATACGATAAGGTAACTAGTAGTCCTAATAGACTGCGTCTGAAACCATGAAGTCAGCTGGAGAATAGCCAGGCTCCTTCATTGAGAATGTCGCAAATGGTCCGAAACCATGAGCCGCTCGGAAAAACAGTAAAATTCTGAGAAAAAAGGCATATTCTGAGATACCATGGTGCCATGTATGGGCCACGACTTCTGTAAGCGCTGGACTTGCGAACTCCTCTTTCTAGGAGCGTATTGAAGGATCCGTGGACTGCAGCCGCGCAGCAATTACACGACACGGCCCCCTACACGACACTCCCACCTGAGCACACACTACCCGGTGGCTGAGAGACATTGATACCGCTACATGGCAGATTTAAAAAACTAATTGCAGGATGTTATTGTAGCATTTTAAGCAACTATTAGGCAACGATTAATTAATAATCTAAGTCTATCCGTTTGAGACACAACCAGTTATGACTTTAAGCACTCAAATCATTTGGATCTAACAATAAATTAAAACAAAAAAGGGTGGGCTTAGTAAACTTTTATTTTCTAGTACATATTAAAATAGTGAATAATAGATCATCTATTATCATGTTTGTCTCACTGCTACACATGTATTTATACATAAAATGTAGATATTTATGAGCTAAACGTATAGTAGTTAAAATAATAAATAAAGGTTTCATGAAGAGTTATAAGATAGTCGACAGCCATGGGGCAATTGAAGTTTTTCAACAGGTTCATGTTAAAGGTACCTACGTATATATAAAGACATGATTTTTAATTTCTGAATCTCACATTAGCCTGGTTTACTTGATTACTGCCGGCTGACACCCATTCACAATGATCATCATTGAGCTTTTATTAGACCCAAATTAGTGAGGGCCAGGTCAGGCCACTAATGAGCTCAATATTCACTGGTATTATTACTTTATAACATTAGGAGTACTAGGCGTCTATTACAAAAACCGTTGAAGGAATCGTCATGCATTCTGAACTGTTTCAGTACTTCAAAAACATTCATTCAAGATCCCTGTCGTCTGTTTAATATTATTCATCTAATTGTTGTGCATTCAGCAGTCCATATTCACTCTTTCAAAACTGAAACAAGGACCAACATGTTGTTTTAAAGCATTGGCAGGCCTAAAGCTCTGATATGACAAAGTGTTTATAAAAGTGTTCCTATTAATGTGATATGTTAACGAAAGGTGGAACGGTTTTGCTCCAAACCGTTCTAAGGATGGTGTTTTGGACGTNTCTGATTGGTCGGAACGTTGTGAATCGCGCTGAGCTCCGTGGAGGTGTGGTTTCCTTGTTTAGCGACAGCGAAACACAGCCAAACTCACCCTGAGCACAAACAAAGTCACAGCCGAAGTAAAAACAATAAGTGTGGCTTGATATTGAGTAAGAAAAAGGTTGATAAACGCTGTGAGAATGGGTCTGCAGAGAGAATTTCGCCGCGATCCCAATTGTCTGTTATCAGCCTGCAGCCAGGGAGGAGAAATCAGCAGAGCTGCATGCACTGTGTGTGTGTCAGGAAGTCCATGGATTGGTCAATTTGGACCAATCAGCGGGGGCTTAACGTAACGGCTCCGCGGACGTAACGTAACGGCTCCACGGATTGGTCCATTTGGTTCCGGGTAACGCATGACATCATGCGGTACCCGGAAGAATCAATGGACAGTGACGTATCTCCAACGAGGCGTCTTGGGGAGGTATTTTCTCTTAGAGTTTTACTCGCTACAGGGTGTACTTTGAGGGTTTTGGCTCTGCAGACCGTTTACATGCATAAAAACCTTCATAACACACAAGGGGACGGGTAATAACCAGAAAAGCATGACATGGGACCTTTAAGTTATTTATTACATCTCTCTGCATGTGCGGCAAACTGTCCTGGTTCAGAGTCTCTGTGATCCTCTCCTCGTTGCAGTGCATGCTGGTCACGTGGACGATAAGTTACTCATCTGAGGTTATTGTTTGTTCTAGTGAAGAGACTTTTCTGTATTAATGGGTCATCAGGGCCGGTTATGGAGTCTCTGCTTTGGCCTTGGTTTGGGGACATGATGACAGAGTCACATGAGTCAGGAAGCTGATGATAAGGAGGGATATAGATTTCATGAAAAACACACAAATATCTGCCCAAACTGCAGCATGTTAGCCTGATTGATCCTCTTTTACACTATGATGTTTGTATTTTACTATGCAGGAAGTAACTGATCTTTTTCAGTTTTTGATATTTTAGATAAATCATTTTGACAGATCTGTCAAATAAATCATCTCATGGATTAGTCGCCACAACTCGATTGATTACACACACTCTCCCTCCTGACTGCTGCAGATAGGTGTTTATATATGGAGATAAATAACGCTGTTCAATACATGTTTGAGAAGCTCTCCTCAGAAACATTGATCAACTTCATTCCTGTTCACTGCAAATCCATTTCTGTTTTCATGGAGAAAATCTATCTTAAGTTATGGAAGGTTTACAGTTCCATAAGATGCATCCAACAAAAGGAAACTAAATGTTTGGTTTTACTGCTGCAACCTGCGTGGTTCTGTGACTCTAATTTAGATGATGAAGAACAGACATCATGTGTATGTGCATTGTGCAGCAGAGTCCACTCAGTGTTATGTGTCCCGATTGGAAGATGTTACACATAAGGCTGCCCAATACATCAGGTTTATATTTCTTTTTGCTATTGAGATTGCAACCCATCCTGAAAGAGTTATTTGCTCTCTGCTAACAGGGTCTTCATGCCTTTGTGCTTATGGCTGCACATTTGGTGCATATTAAAATGTTCTTTAGGAATTATTTCAGAAAGCCAGAAGAATATATTAAATGATTTGTGTTAGATTAGTCGTAATCAAAAATGCAAGATCTGACTGCAGCTCTATCCCAAATGTACTCAATAGTTTGAGCATGGTGCAGCAATGGCTATTATCGTGTTAGTCATAGTGCAATAATATGTTAGTTTCTTCTTTGTTCAGTGACTGAAGTCAGTTTTAATTCCCAGTTTAGCTTCTGTTTGACGCACTTTGGCTCCTCTCAGAGAATTTGTCACTGGTTCCTTTCTTAAGTATGAGTTTTATGAGTTGAGTATTATTCCGAAGCGTCATCGTCTGCTCTGTGATGTCTCTTTGACTGCTCTAACATGAAGTGCTCTCTGTGTCCATGTCTGCAGAAGGCCTTTCCCGACTACCATGGCAGTGAGACTGTGTGATGTAGCTTCACTGCTAAGAAGTGGCTCGTGGGCTCCAGAGCCGTGGAATGGGGTCTGTGGCTCTTCTCTTTTAAACATGAATTCATTTTGATTAATGGTGTACCATTAATCAAAATGAATTCATGTTCAAGGCATTTGGGGGTTCGTGAATGGTTCCTGTTTTTATGTAAGGACTAATCTCTGGGTGTTTGTGTCTAGTAGTGAGGGCTTTATGGCTTTTTTAAATATGGTGTGATTATCTGCTCTGTTAACAAATGTTAATGGCTGCACATCTATAGGCTTGCATGTAACTGCAAGAGAGGGATTTCACCTGTGGTAGCACCACATAATGTCATATTTCACGTTTGCATGTCAAACTTCCTGCGGGTATTTATTCTAAAAACACACATTTAGATAATTGAAGAGCCTGCCCGACTTCTTTGGGAAATGTAAAGGCTTGTAATGCTAACCCAAATGATGATTATATGGTGGCCGAAAAGGGCAAACACCCTAGAACGGCCCTAAATATTTCCATTAGGAAATGTTCTGAGCCGTTTGCACCTGTTGGCCACCGTACATTAGTTCACAACACAATGTGAGTTGCATGAAGAATCTTTGACTTTTTTTCTTGAATGTCTTGAAGTTAAAATACTAGGGATGTAACGATATACCGAATATCGCGGTATCGCGGTAAATAAACGTCCCAATCCCAAAACATTTTTTTTTTTATAAACTTTTTTTTTTTTTAAACCTTTATTTATGCAGGTGGTCCCATTGAGATCATCGATCTCTTTTTCAAGGGAGACCTGTCCAACATGGCAGCAAGTAGGTTACAACATGAACATAAAACAACAGATAACACAAAAGGACATCGTATTTANAGGGCTACATTTACACACCTAGAGACATTGATAAGTACCAACAATATATTTATATCTCGCCCTGTCAATAAGCCTCACCTTCTTGGCAAAAACTGTATTGTTTTTAAAGTGGTGGAGAGACAATGCACAGTTTGACCCACTGCTGTCACCCATGGCCAAAGCATATCTCTCCATCCCACTGAGGCGGCGTTAGACTTTTTCGCTGTCCGTCATTTTGACAGACAGGATCGTAAAATATCGGTCATAATCCCTTATTATTACTCGTCGGGTCTGAACAGTTCACGAGAGAGCACGCTCGTGAACTGTCAACGGGGGGGG